AAGGGAGATGAATTCCAGGCCATGGTCAGAACTAGACCGTTATCCTCCCAACACCAAAGCTGAAAGAATGGGAAATGTTTTCATTAAGAAAGGCTGCATTTCCTCCAGGCTTCTAAAGAGCCCAGTTTTCTCTTCCCTCTGTCATTAATCAAGCAAAGTAGACTGTTCAGGGAGACATCACAGAGGCAAACAGAAGGAACCGACCTCTGACCAAATCCTCAGATGGGTTGTGGTTGGCCAGCAAAATCAGACAAGCAGCGGACAGAGGGTCCAGCGGGGAGGACAAGCTGACAACCGATGTGACAGCTTGAGAAGTCCACCCCAGGTGAGGTTTCTCTGCAAAACTGCTGCCACCCCACCCGTCCTGGGAGAGGGCACCAGAGCCAAGCCTCAGGAGAAAGCAGGTGGTAACAGAGGACACAGGAGATGCAGGGAGCTCTGCTCACTGCTGAATGTAAGAGGACAGTGTGGAGAGTGAAGAGTGCTATCTGTTCACACCCAAGGCTCCCTGGGCTCCAAATGCACACATGGCCACCTGCAGTCAGAACAGCAGCAGTTGTGCCCAAGGAGAACACCTGTGCAATTGTCTCTGACAAAGCCTTTCCCACTTTCTGTGTTAAATGTTCCCATATGGATCTTTAGGGTTAAGTAAACCATTGAAAGTGACATGAAATCCAAGGTAGCTGGTGTGGGGAGGTTCTGTGAAGCTCCAGAGGACAGGCTTCTACCAACAGGTTGACAAAAACCTTTTAGCCATGGACGAGTACAGAAAGCCCTAAAAAATAGGGATGCTAGATGGAGAGGGGTTGAAATGCTCTAATAGATAGCGTGCAGCGCGGAGGAGGAATGATTCCATCAAGCCATTTGACAATTTTAAAATGCACAAAGAGAAATTTCAACCTGAAGCAGCATTTTATGGTAATACACATTAGCCCCCACAGCTTAATTCAGGGATCCGGCTCCACAGTGACCACACAACACAGTTTACATCATTTGCCTGTCAACCCTTAGAAATACATTTGAATATAAATGGGGTGGCTATGTGATAATATGCCTGTTACTTCCATTGCAGCCCTGATGTCGCAGGGCAGTACAGTTCCAGAGACAAAGTACATTGTCTCTGGACAAAATTACAGATTCTCCTCTAAGCAAAGATGTCTGTGAAGTCTTAGCAAAGTCTCAGGGTTCTGAGGGACTGGTTATCACTTTTATTACAGGCTGACTCAGACAAGCCCTAAACTAACTTGTCAAGAAAACAAGAATGCGAAACACACAAATAAGACAGTGCTTTGTGGAGAAAACTAAACAGCAGTCTGTATGCTGGCAAATGCAATGCTTTTGGAGCACTAGAGGTCACATATTTAGGTATTTTTCTTCCAAGGGACTTTCTTTCTGCTAAATAGGAACCAAATTGATTTGCTATAATAGCTCTTGGTTGGCTTTAGAGCACAGAAAGCCCTGACCACAGGCCTCATAGAGAAAGACAGAGTTTCTCAGGCCAGCTCACTACAGGAGCCAAGGGATGGATGCTCTTGCAAAAATTCCCTGTTCTTCTTGGTCCTCCTAGAAACTTCTAAACCAGAATGATCATTCTAAGAGCAGCCATGGGGAGGTGGCAGGGACTAAAGATAGACTGGAAAGCTCCATTTCCAAAAGGATCTTCACTAATTTCATCAAGACAAAGTTAATAATCCATGACATAAATGGTTATTTTTTCCTTGAGTTAGTTGTTCTAAACATTGTAGAGTCTTCCCGATAAATCTCACAGCTAGAGGCTAGTAGAAATTAGTTTGCCTTCTACACTGTCATTAAGAAAGAAAGAAGTGGTAATAGCTAAGAGGAAACTGGAAGGGAATGGCTTGTAAATGAGATGAATCTACAAGCTGCCTAAGTAGTTGTTGGGCAGGATGAGTAAATAACTCCACATTTTCCTCTTATCACGTTGCCTCACAGGAAGCAGATGCAACAAATGGAGATAGAGATTCCTTTAATAAGATGTTTTACTTATATATAGAGAGAGGCACCTAGAGTCAATTTAACTTGTATTAAGACCTGCATTCTTAACAGATTCACCCTGTAATTCCATATTGAGGTCTTCGATGAGCAGGGGCATGTGCTGTTGTATAAAGAGCGACATGAGTCTAAAAGCCATGGCCTCTTATCTCCCAAGAAAGGAAGCTATGACTGAGCACCCATGGGAGAGATGTGGACAGTAAGTGGTACACAAAGCTTGTGACAAGAGGCTGCAAAGATGGAAACTGCCCTCCAACCAGCAGTGATGCCCTTAGAAAGCATGCTTTGGAGACAGGTAGACTAAATCACACCAAAAAAAGAAGAAGAAGGTGGCATGTTTAGCCCTTCCATGGAAACCCTGAATGTACCTGTCCACCTCCTCAGTAATGATGATAATAGGTTAAGTATCCCTCATCTAAAATGCTTCGGACCATAAGGGTTTTGGATTGAGGATTTTGTTTTTTCATTTGCATTACATTCCAGTTCCAATTGAGCATCCCTAATCCAAAAATGCAAAATCTGAAATGCCCCATTTTTTTTTTTGAGTGTCATTTTGGGACTCAAAAAGTTTTAGATTTCAGAGTATTTCAGATTTTGGATTTTCAAATTAGAGATACTCAACCTGTACTGCTAATAGCTCAGCTCTGAACTGAATGCTTTCTGTATGTTCTCCCATTTAATTTTTATTATGGCTCTGGGAAGTAATATTCTAACCTCCAATTTACAGAGGAGGGAACTGAGGCACAGAATGATAAACAAATAATAATAATGAAATAATTGGCTAGCAACTAGAGTTACCAGGATTTGGACCCAGGCAATTTGACTCCTCCTTTACTGCTGTTGCTATTATTACAAGATTCCAGTAGTGCTGCACTTAAGTTTTGCTCTTTGTGTAGTGCCTGGGTCTCAGCAGGAACAGAGGGAGTTGGAGTGTCCCAGGGTTCCTGGGTCTGACACTGCATTTACCTCATTTGATGATGTCTGGCTACACATCTGGGAGCTGCGCCTTTGTTTCTCCTCTCCATGTGCACCTGTCATTTAAGTAGGCCCTCAGCTATATTCCCCTTTGGACTCTCAGTCTCTCTTTCTCACTCCTCCAGTGGAAAGACTTTTTGTAGCCAAAGTATCTGATATGCAACCAAAGGGCCCACCTGCGCCCTTCACCCACAGCAAAAGGAAGCATCACAGACCTCGATGAGAAGCACTTTCCTTTTTCCCTGCTCCAACCTTTGCAGACACTTCTGTGCCATGGAAAGTGGCCCCATCTTTGTTCTTCAAGGAGACTGAGTGTGGTTTAAGACCTGGAGAATGATTTAGGGCATATGAGGCAAGGGTGCCATGTATTTGGAGAGGGAGGAAGCCCTCCAAGGGAGAGAGAAGCTAGAAAGACCCTGCAGAGAGTGAGACCCTCACAGGCTCTGGCCCCACAGAGAGCAAAGGGATTCCCCTCTCCCCCTGCACTGGGTGGGAATAGGCACACACTCTCTGAGCCCCACTGTCTAAGGCCATTTCCATCCACATGGAGGCTGGGAGTGATACCTACAAAGGCACAGTGAGAGGAACTTGCTTGGACTTCACCATTTCTTCCAAACTCCACAAAGGAAGGCAGAATAGACCAGCAGCATCTCAATACGCAAACTCTTGTACCAGGGGCCTTTCACTCTGACTCAGGTGCCCAGGGCTTTTGAGTCCATGAGTGCTGCAGGGCACTTGGGCAAACTCTCTTGGCCACCGAAAGACCGCAGACATTCTGGTGGGCTCCCTGGAGCAGTGGACACTGGTAGAATGGGGATTATTACAGATAAAATCAATACCTGCTGTGTTTCCCCATCAACCAGGAACATACTTCTCATGTTTACCATCCATTGAGGCATGTTTCCTTTTTCTCCCTACATATGAGATTATAGAGTAGATTCATTCCTTTGGTAAATTTGACACATATCCATGCCTCACTCAAGATTCCAACAATTGCCTTCCCCAAAATGGGCGGCCCCTGACATGGTGAAAACAAGATGTTATGTGGTGGGGCTGATACTCAGATGGCAGATACAGCCATCTCTGTTCTGAAATGCTGATTTCCATCCCTCATCCCTGGCTAGATAAAGACAATGGAACTAGTTTCAAATGCTGAATGGCAAGCATATCACACATACAAATTTCTGGATAATTTCCACAAACCCAACTGGAAGAAACTTCCTTCTGTCCTGTGGCTCTCACTTACTAAGTGTCATGAAAGTTCTCTGAGGCACCACATTTCTAACCTAGAAATGGATCTGAGGCTGCCAGTGAGGACTCTCCACACTGCTTCCCTGGTGCTCCCAAACACCCAGAAAGAAACTATCTCTTACACCAGGCACATAGCTCTCCATCATATTCCAAGGTCCAAGACTAGCTAGTGCCGATTGCACATAATCAGGGTTGACCAGAAACACTTGTTACTTCTGGCTTTGGAAGGAACCAAGCCAGTGGGGTTCCATGTCATGGTTTTGCTGTCCCGCCCCTCCCTGCTCAACCTGGCATCCAGCAGCGTCTTGGATGACCCAAGCCTCAGCACTCAGCAGATGTGCTGGGACAGTCCCAACTTGTTTTGCAAGAGTCATATCTGTATTAATAACAGCCTAAAGCAGGTTGTAAATGATCACTCCCCAAAGAAGACTCCATCCCCAGCCCCGCCAGATAAACATTTCCACAAGCAGTCATCACAGAGACATAAGAGACAGAAATCTCTTTACCCTCTATGCATGTAACTTTTAAATACCAGAGACACTCTGTGAGCCAATAAGCCCTGTCTGCTGACCACAGGCATAATTGCCTGCTAGTGCTGCTCACAGACACTGCCCAGTCGACCATTTTCAATTTCAACAAATGGCAGAGCTCTAGTAATTGAAGTGGGTGGGCAACAGGAGGCTCCCGCATGTCTCCCTTAGCCAAGGGTGTGGGTGAGGCTCTTGGTGGAGGGAAGTGGGGAGAAGAGGCTGAGCACTGACCTGCAGCATCTGGAGATAGCCTTCCTGGGGGTCGCAGAGCAGGGAGGAGATACGGTGGTTGTTCCTCATGCATTTCTGATTGTCCTTTGCAGATGGGAAGATTTGCCGGACCACGGTCATCCTTCCAAGGGCACTATGGACCAGATCCAGGATCTCCGGGTCACTGATTTCCTAGAAAAACAACCAGGCCCGTGCTTACCATCCACTTAAGAACTATCTTTGCAAGAGAACTATCAGGAGGCATCTAGGCCAGCAGCCAGAACAGCAAATGCCAAAGAGGTCAAGGGATTGGGCCCAGGTCACACAGCTCATTAGTTGCTTATTCACAGATACTACTTGATATCCCTTAGGTGCAAACAAGATTAGTCAACATTTTCCCTAAAGGCCAGAAAAAGATGTTTGAGGCTAAACCACTGATGCACTAGTTTCCACAGGTGTAAAGCTTTTAGGAACCAGTACCATCAAGGGTCATGGTAGACATTAGCCAGACAGAAAGGCTAACTCTCCTTTTGGGAGTTACCTACCTGATTCTGACAGGGAAAGCTGGGTTTCTCTGCCATAGTTGATCAATATACAATAAGTTTCCCTGAATTCTTCTAGAATTACATTCATTTTGCAAAATATTTACATATGAATTTTGAGAATATATCCATTCATTTATTCACTATTTATTCCACAAAGTCTACCTAAATCTCTGACGTTTGTTCTGTAGTAAGCACTGTGGATACAGCCGGGAACAAATCAGGCCCTATCCTTCCCTGTAAATCCCATGGATATCCTAGGATGGAATATGCTGAGTGTCCCAGGGCTATATATGTGCTGTCCATATTGACTGCACAAAGCCCTTTGCTCACATTAGCTCATTTAGTGCTCACAACATCCCTCGGAATTCTGGGAAGTAGATCCCAGTATGATCCACTGTGGAGCATAGACACAGCAAGGAAAGGAGACCACAGGAGCTCTTTCCAGAAAGGGGCTTCCCTGAGGTATCTGACAAGGGGTAGACTTGTGATGGCTAATACTGAGAGTCAACTTGATTGGATTGAAGGATGCAAAGTATTGTTTGGGGTGTGTCTGTGAGGGTGTTGCCAAAGGAGACTGATATTTGAGTCAGTGGACTGGGAAAGGCAGACCCACCCTCAGTCTGGGTGGGCAACATCTAATCAGTTGCCAGCATGGCTAGAATAAAGCAGGCAGAAGGAGTTGGAAAGAGCAGACTTGCTCAGTCTTCCAGCCTCTTTTTCCCATGCTAGATGCTTCCTTCCCTCAACCATCAGACTCCAAATTCTTTAGCTTTTGGACTCTTGGACTCACACCAGTGGTTTGCCAGGGGCTCTCAGGCCTTTGGCCACAGACTGAAGGCTGCACTGTGACTTCCCTACTTTTGAGGTTTGGGGACTCACAGATTGGCTTCCTTGCTACTCAGCTTGCAGACAGCCTATTACGGAACTTCACGTTGTGATCATGTGAGCGAATACTCCTTAATAAAGTCCCTTTCATATACACATCGATCCTATTAGTTTCGTCCCTCTAGAGAACCCTGACTAATATGGATTTTGTTTCTGGCTAACAAGTTCTGGAGAATGAACTTGTTAGCCAAAGTGCCACTGGTAGGCAGGGCAGGGTTGCAGTTGAGGAGTTGGTGATGCTGTAGAGGGAAGGTGGAGGGAGCTGCCAATAGCTCCCTGATCCAGGTAGAGGGTAGAGGCAGCAGGGAGAGTGAAATGCTACAACCTTAGGTGACCTGGTGAGGGACAGAGCGACTGCCCCGCTGCGGGGAATGCTTGTGAGGGCAGAAGGAAGAGTGGTCAGAGGCAGGGCTAGAGCCATATGCAGGGCCAGATGGGAGAACAGAGGGTCAGTACACCCCACAAAATGGCCATACTAAGAGAGATGAGGAGACCTTGAAAGGATTTAGGCTCAAACAACCCAAGATTTACATTTTTAAAAACCTCTGACTGCAGTAGGGAGAGAGGATTAGAGAGGAACAGAACTGAGGAAAAAGAGAGCACCTGTCTCTGCAGCTGGGTACAATAGGATAATTACAACAAAATGGAAACGAACACATACAGACACCACTCGACTTAATATGGGCTTACATCCTGACAAACCCATCGTAATTGAAAATATCATAAATCAAAAATGCACTTAATCCCCCTAGCTGGTGAACATCACAGCTTAGCCTTGTTCAGAATGCTCACATTAGCCTACAGTTGGGCAAAGTCACCCAGCAGAAAGCCTATTCTCTAATAAAGTGTTGAATATCTCACAGGATTTCTTGAATACTGTACTGAAAGTGAAAAACAGAATGGTTTCATGGGCACTAAACTGGGTATTCTACTGAATGTGTATCATTTTCATGCCATTGTAAAGTCAAAAAATTGTAAGTCAAACCATTCTGTCAGGGATAGTCTGTATAAGCCAACAATTTCAGTGGTGGAAGAGAGACATAGGCAGGTTAAGAAAAGCTCTGGTTCACTCTTTTGTTGTTGTTGAGACAGAGTCTTGCTCTGTCACTCAGGCTGGAGTGCAGTGGTCCAATCTCAGTTCAAGCAATTCTCCCACGTCAGCCTCCCGAGTAGCTGGGATTACAGGCGTCTGCCACCGCACCCAGCTAATTTTTTGTATTTAGTAGAGACGGCGATTCACCATATTGCCCAAGCTGGTATCGAACTCGGCCTCGTGATCCACCTGCCTGGGCCTCCCAAAGTGTTGGGATTACAGGCATGAACCACCACATCTGGCCCACTCTTTCTAAGAAGGGACTAAATCGGTGGTAAATTACAAGAAAAAATCTTAACTACAAATAGCTACATTTTGAAACAGGTCTTAAATCTTTCTCCTTGCATGTGACACATTCTAGTTTTGAGATAATATGATGGTAAAAAGGAAGTTAATGAGGTTAGGAATTAGGGATGAGGGCTTCAAAATCATTTAAACAAGAACATTACATTTTTATGGGTAAGATGGTAAACAATGTATTTCAGGAATGGTCTTAGGAAGCTGAGATGTGTGTGAAGCCTGGTCAGCTGAAACCACGTGCTGGATCTGGAAGTAAGTAAAATATTAAGGGTTGTATTCTTTTAGGATAATTAATAGTTTCCAAATATACTGAATTACAGGGATTTCAAAAGAACTAAAATGCTATTACATACTGGATTTAGGGTTAAACTACTAAACTGTATTTCAGACAAAAGACTGTTCAAGATGATTTTATTGGGTTGGAACCAACAGACAGTCAAAGGTGGGGAAATTGACAATGTCCATGTTTCAGGACTACCAGATGGAATGGGGCTAGAACACAGCTGGGCTTCAGGGAGGGGAACAGAGGGCACAGCTGAGCCTGGATGCGCATGCTCAGCTCTGCTCTTAGTTGCTTTGGTGACCAAGACCCTGCCCCAAACACAGGATACAGAATGACAGAAATCACATTTTAATCTAACAGGAAGTAAGAAAATAAGAAAAAGCAATGAGTGGATTGTTAGTTTTACCTTGAAGCTGGAATATAAAGGACTTGTGGAGGGAATTTTTAGCTAGAAAAAGCATGAGGTCATGAAGACCATAATTTAAATTATGCACAAAAGGGTGAATCAGAGCCAGTACACCTCCAAGAGAAAGTGGTTGTCTCATGCCTTTCGTTTTTCCCACATTCTCTTGATGGCAGAGGGTACTGTAAGAAAACAGGTCATTCTCCTAGAAGTCTTTTGATTAAACTTCCCCTGCTCCCTCAACTTTCTGGAGGGAGAATCAGCAGCACTGAGATCTCCCTTCACACCTCAATCAGGAGCCTGGAAATCTGTAGTGGAGCTGACTTACAGAGTTACACGGTACTCTTCTGTAAGCACAACCATCACTTTCCCAGGCAACCTGGGGCAGCACCTGGAGTAAGTGGCTAAGTAGGCCAAGGGCAGCCACAACATCAAGTGGGCTCAGCCCCTGCCACCAGCTGCCCTAGTCTGCACTGTTTCTTTTCCATTCTACTCACCCAGGAACTCCTGGAGGCTCCCTTTCCAACCCATTAGCCGCCATATGCCTTCCTCACAGTGAAGGTCTGTAGGTACCTTGCAGAACTTCCTGTTTTCCCTAACCCAGTTCTCATCCATGTGCGCTGGGTCAGAGCATGTACACTGGTTGCCAATGTACTCCCACCCACCTCCTCGAATTTGTGGGACTATTCTTACTGCACAATCCAGAGATATCTGCGATCAGAATCTAAGAAGCCACAGAAGCAGCTTTCCCACTTCCCTGGGGGCAATTAAAAAAGTCACTTTTCTCCTTGCCTCAGTCCCAAACCTGTGTGATCGGCCAGTTCCAGCAGTTTTATGTCAGGCCCTGCTCCTGTCCTGTTGGTCCCCCTGGTCCCTTGAGTGCCACAGAGATGAGCATAGGGATGCACTCACTCCCTGCTCACTCATGTCAGGCTGCGCACACCGGGCTGCACTTCCTGGCTGCACACATCAGGTCAATCTCTGTACCACCATGAGACACCCTGGCCTCAGGACCTTCTTTAGTGTGCAAACGGCAATCCAAGTGGCTGTTTGGAAAACAAACTTTCCCTTTGTCTTGGGCACACATTCCCTCCAGTAGTGCAGTCAATGAGCAGAAGCAGCAAGACAATGTATAAACACCACTATTAGAAGTCAGTAAATCAGTAGCACAAACAAAAGTAACACATCATATGCAGATGCTCACTGGAGTGCACCAGCTCAAAGTAAAGCTTTTGCACTTTATTACTTTCTAAGTTTATATTGTGAAATATACCTTATGCACAAACACATACATTAAATGTGAATAATAAAATGATTTCAGTGTGCCTTTCATCAAGCTAAGAAATAAAATATTACCCAGATCTTGGTTGGATGCCTCCTTCTCAAATGCTTACTCCTTCCCCCTCACAGAAGCAGCCTTTGTCATGCTATGATTAGTGTAGTGTAACCCAAATAATATACAGCTTAGTCTCATTTGTTTTGCTTAGCTTTGGGTAAGCTAAACAGTGTGCATGCCTCTTGTAATTGTGTTCTAACACGTTGCTTCTCAAACTTTGTTGTGTATCAGTATCATTTGGGGAACTTAATAAAATTACAAAGGTCCAATCCTGTCCCACTTCAACAAGCAACGTCTCTGGGGACCCCATGAGTTTTCCAGCTAATTCTAATACACACCAACGTTTA